GAAGTAAATTCACTTCAAATTAAGAATGGAAACTTAGCTACAGATTATCAATTTTGATGTATGATACTAATATATTGGCAATCCAAACTGAAAAGTCGACATATCCCACCACAACACCTCTTAAGTTAGTTCATACTAGTTCAGGAACTAGTTCATTTTACTGCTGTGATTAGATGCTCAAGTCTATGTGGGTGTATCGAACAGATGAGAGTGGCTTTAGTAGCCACTACTACGAAAATTACTAATTTTATTAAAATATAATTCTCACTCCTGTTTGTTCCATTAGCAAACTATTATTTTCTATAGTAATATTTGTTTTGAAATCGAGACTTTAAGTGTACTTCACCTTTTTGAATGCACTTGAGTTCTAGGTTAACCACTGCAGCTATTTTTAACAACGGTAAAAATGATGTAAAGTTGCTCATAATGAATATTTAACAGAAAAATAGATAATATGTTTCTAATTCGGTGTGCTTCTAACTTTTTTCAGCTGCCCATGTGGATATGTTGCATATACTATACAATTTTTATTTATTATTGTTGTTGTTTTGCGCACATTGTTATCCTCATTGCTTGTTAGGTGCACACAAATTATTCGCTTCATTTTCTTTTCATTCGTTCTCTTTATTTTCGCTTAACTTTCACTCCCATTCGCCGTGATTAATTATCCGACGCTTATATGTACAAATGTGCAGCGCCACGCATACGCATACACGTTAAATATGTGTGCGTACGCTCGAGTGTAGTTTGCGTTGATTATGAATGCTAGACGATTTTTTCGCATCACACTCGAAACATCAAAACCAGGCCACAGTCTCGGTCGAATGGCTCAATAGCACTCATATACGTTTACACATGCATACATATGTATATATTATGCATACGTATACATATTTGCAAATAAAATTGTGTATTTTGAAGTGCTTTCATTGTAGACTTGTGCTCTGTTCTGCCCCACAATGGACATGTGGCTTTTGATTAATAGTCCACTGTGCTATTATCTCGGTCTACAATGGCGATTTACTTGTCGCTTTTATTCTGAGCCTTGCTCTTAAGCGTACTTGCCAGCCTAACAACTTTCATATGTATTAATTGTTCGGTTCGGTGTAATCTATTTTCATGAATGTCCAACTAATTGTTGTTATTATTCTTGCTTTATTTGATCTCTTCGTCAGCAGCTTCACTGTTTTTCTTTTCTCATCATATTTCATCTTAATAAATGAAAGTTTGCCAAACTTCGGCAATTTGCTCGTACACTTAGTAAGAATACAAATTTGATTGACTTTCTTCAAGTACCTGTGAATTGTCTTCGCGTTGCCACGTATTTTCATTAAACACCGACTGTCACGCTTAATTGCAGCATACAAATGGCGCACATAAATAATAAAGTTTGATTTGCCCGATGCTTCACTGGAAGAACGGTAAATATAAGGAATGTGTGCTAATTTCTCCCGCACGCAACCCTTAAGAACCGAACTTTGCCACTGGTGAAGAAAAAGCGAAAAAATTGAAGCAAAATGCTAGAAGATTTTGAGAGAAAAGAATGTGCTTCTGCGACAATGGCACAGGGAATATTTTTATATTGTTGAAAGTCGTTTTTGCTCATAAGGTAATAAAGTCCATCGATCAGTAAGTACATAAAATAGAGGAATGCAATCATAAAGTCAAATTTAAAGCTTATAAATTTTATTTTCCTGCTGGACCTCTTTTACTCCCTACAATACAAATTCAAATATTTTATATTTTTACAAGACTAGTACGTAAATAAATATCTAAATTTATTCGAAATTTCTTTAGCGATTAAAATGAGAATTCCATTCACATAATTTCGTTTTTTTCCATTTATATTGCTTTCAAAAATCTAAACGCTGGTTTTATGCTTATTTCGTACATGAAAGTACGAATCATATTATCATATGATTCTGTACAAGTATATCTATGTTTGTGCACACTAGTAATTGTTCATATCCGGAGTAGTGCATGCATATTCAGGTAGCCACTCTTAAAATATTTGCATATTTGAATTTTCATATATTCAAAGAAACTTCCTCCGGCTGAAAGCAATTGTTATGCAAAGCAATTTGAAGTTGCCTTCAACTGCGTTGTGGTACTGAGAAATTATACATAGAAAACAGACCACTAAATTTGTATTTATTTGATTACATGTATTTCTGTATAAAGAAAAGGTTCCACTTGACAAATACAATAATGATTTAAAATGTATTCGTGTCTAAGCTAACAAAAACTTTATGCGTAATACACTAATTCTCTGTAAGATGTTTTATTTAAATAAGGAAATATATTTTTTATGCAATTCAGAGTCATCATCCTGCCTTACTCCATAGCAACAGCACAAATACCAGACTCTTGAAAATAAAAATAACGAAATTCAACTCAACCAATGCAACTGAAAATTATTGTCGAACAGAGAAATCAATGAGTCTAAAGATATTCTAATAAACATGTCAATAAACTGAAATTCAATAAACTCAATTTAGCATTTGAAAGTTGAAACACCAGTGGCATACGCCTGAGTGATTGTTTGATAGGTTGATCACGTCAATGATGAATCGTGTATCGCGTTCCTAAGTCCGGGTCATTTGAAAAATTATGAAATCAGAAACATGTGGTTTTGTTAGTGGACAGAGAGAGATGGATGTTATATACCGTTTATGCACTGAAAGCAATGCTTGCTGCCTGAGGGTACATGGCGTATGAGTAGCAGAGAGATTTCAGAGAAATTAAATATTTTAGTTAAAATTGCATATAGCAACAGCTACATTTTCAATGACGCTAAAATATCTATTTGCGATTATTCATACTTCTTTTAACCTTAACTTTGTGGCAAGGTTATGTTTGCATAAAGAGTACAACACCGGGAAGAAAACATGGAAGACCATATAAAATAGATACCTAAATGATCAGCGTGACAAAATGATTCGATATACCCATGTGCGTCTGCCTGTTTACACATTAAGTAGTTGTTCCTCAGTTCTCGAGATACCGCTCTGAAATTTTATTCACGTCCTTTTCTCACTAAGAAGTTGCTCACTTGTCGAAAGCACGACATTATATAGCTGCCATCCAAACTGGCAGATCAATGAAAAATGATACCCTTGCACAGATTTTTTTTTTTTTTTTTTTTGTGTCATAACTTTACGAAAGCTATTTTGTTTTTCAGGATAGCGCTAGAATCTTCGAATAAATAGTTCACTTTGGACTACTATAGCATACATCTACCATACAAACTGACCGATTGCTGCCGTCTTTTGAAGGATTAAATACAGTGCACATATTAATTGGCGCACAATTTCTATGGTAAACAAATATGCAATATATGTATGCAATATATAAACGCATGAAATTTATCTGAGCGTTAAATGCTCGAGCATGAGAAAGCACAAATATCTGGTTTTAGGTGTAATTAGCAATTGTAACGCACAATTGCTGATTCGCCTCGCTGATTTCACCGCATGCACACACACATAGGTGGGTTATTAAGTGACTGGCAATTTTCCCCTAAGTTTATGTAGGAGAGACAACTTCACTTTTGTCAACAGATAATAATGAAGTAAGTGATTGCTTAAATGCGCTGCCTTTCAAGTCTGAGGAGGAAATATTTATTGAGTGAATGCACACACACACACTTATATACAAGTGTTCTTATAATATTATAATATTATTATAATGTATTCTTTAGCATTAGGATGCACTGTTAATACTTTAATATGACTTAATCTGAACATCTTTTTAAGAAGTAAATAATTATTTATTTAAATATGTAAAGTTATTACAATATAGACTACATACTTTTATATAACGATATACGTTTGTGAGAATGCGAGCTTTAACTTCCATAATTTAAAAAATTGTGGGCTATATTCAAATAAAGAAGCATAGTAGTAATATTCATAGCATAGGTGTATATAAATCTGTGTCGGCTGAAGGCCTCGTAGCCCGTGCAGCGTTTATGTATTTATATAATAAAACTCTTTTTGTTGAATGAATTATTAAAAATAAAAATCGGCCGATAGCCCATGATGCTAGTGCTGCGTATTTTCTTAGTTTGTATAATAATTGTATTATTATGTAAGCTTTTATAAAATAAAAAA